GTGGACTTAAGTCGTGATTTGAGCACGTTACGTTTTAGCTAGCTCTTAGAGAAGATGAAAATTATTAAGAATTATATTGCTAATAAATATCGATAATAAATAGAATGTTGGTGACCTAGACGATTTACTTGTATACAATCCAATGAGATATATATGCTCTCTGTAATTAGAATGAAAGGATGGTTTAGAATGCTTTAATGGTAGAAAAGGGTTGGCAACATACTCTAGAGAGCGGAATATCATGTGTAATAACAGACCTGCTCCAGCAACTTTCGCCCATGATGGCCAGTTTCTCGGGTCTCTCCGAGGCGGCGATGTTCGCCGCACCAGGCAGGGCCATCGCCTGGTCTTGAGAGCCGCGTTCCGGAGCCTCTGCGTCTCAGTGTTGAGGAGCTAAGCAGGTGTATAATAAAACGTGGTGGATACCAGAACACGTGTCATCGTATTCGAAAAGGAAATGGAGGGCAGTAGTCTACGAAAATGATTCAAGCGAACGCTGCATTCAGCACGTAAAAATATACTATTGCGAATAGGAACAACAGGCCCAATCATCGCTGAAGTGTGGAAACGAATTAATTTAAAGAAAGAGTAAATCGTGTTTGGCTGTAGTCCGGAGTTTAGAATTCATTAAATACTGGAGCTCGTGTCGTGGATTGGCTTCTGAGCTGGAGTCACTCCTACTGCAATTAAACGAAAACAACGAGACTCGGTATTAATACGCGCAGATCTGTTTTGTATCCGGTAAGGGTAGTTTAATTGCGAAGGGATTTCTGACAACAGTTTAATTGTGAAAAGACTTCCATCTCCATTAAACAAAACTTCTTGATCTTATATTCGTAACCAATAGATTTGAACTAAAATTTCGACAAATGATGATCGAATTAATACTGTATACAGACATTAAGGTAAGGCACTTGTGTCACATTTAGATTATTACATTACAGGGAGTACTTTAAATTAATTTTTGCTAAAAATTAGTGAGGTGGTGGTTAATTGCCAGTGATTGTTATTAATGCTTTTAGGCATGTATTCTATACATCACTGAGGAAGGATCGGTTGTGTTAAATATTTTATTTTGGACTATTGAAATTTACCTTTGAAGTATATTACTCTGGAGCATAAATTATAATTTGGAAGTACAATATTCGCAGGAACAGACTTTTGAAATATATTTTGGCTATGAGTCCTCCGTGTATGAGTAAACTGAAAATCGCCAGTTTTTGAAGAAATTTTTCTCCAAAATTACTCGCATAAGTACAACTTTAAGAGGTGTTACATATAGGAGGAAGTGAAAACGGTACTTTTACGCATACAAAATACATTAAATTACTTGTCAGTTAAAAGTAGGAAGCAGAATGCAGATTGGGTTTGTATAAACACGTTTAATTTAAACACTATTAAAAAAATCTTATATTACGTATCTAATCGTGTTTTTTAACTCTTCACGTCATGTTGGGTGTAGTTTACGCTCAATGAACCCGGAAGGTCTCCGACTCCAAAGCAGCTAAACGTAAATGACCTTTTATGAATGTGGGCCCACAGGCTCATTTTCCAAGGTTGAACGGGAAAAAAGACCTCAAAATGCGAACGGGTGCGTGATATGTTCTATGCATACTCATGCTCAAACTACAGGAAGGGATGGATATAATGACGCTTGTAGGTTTGCTTTCTCTCCGTATTTATAGACAGGCGCATTTTAACGCTAATAGCGCCGTTTAGGGACAAGGCTGCAGAAAAATGAGTTAGCAATGATGATTTTAAGCGACGTATTTCTTATTCAAGACGTAAAGATAATGATTTTTACAAAAAAATTGCAGAAAAATTAAAATATTCAAAAATATGTACTTCATGAGTAAATTATTGTAATATATGTAACCAACAATGTCAATGTTTTTTAGTCAATAACCGATATGAAAAATAAATATATTCGTTGATTTGACGAGTGAGTTTAGGATAATATGCTAATTAATAACCATCCGGGCCTCATACTAATGACAAAAGAGAATTGAGATAGAAAAAGCATTAAATATTGAGAAACTTATCCATGTGGAAGTCAATGAATCGTTGCAGTTCAAAATAAGAGTCAGTGAAGCAAAAAGGAGAGAGAAGGGAGAAAGTAGCATATTCAACGGGATGGGCTTGAGGTACAGCTGTCAGCGTGTTTACACCATTCATTTGGAATTTAGTGTTACAAGCTCATGAAAATTATCAGTTTTTCTCTAATAAATATTCGGATAATTAAATTTTGACTGGTTCAGTAATTTTTTTGTATATTTTATATGTTTTTAATAGTTGTATGGAATAATTTATTTCGCATTGTCCTTTTATTTACGCTGAAACACCGACTATAATACATTATTTGCATCAAAATCTACCGCCACTCTTGGCGCTTCGCTGCTTCAAACATAAAGATATTCTTCATTTATTGATTTTATTTACATTAATCAAATAGTAATTAATTTGATGACATTGTTAAATAATAAATTACTTTCTTTTGATGGCGGTATAGTCAAATTGTAATAGAAACAGTTGTGCAGGAAGAGAAGATTTTACTTGGACTTAAACTTTTTGTATCGAATTTAAATAATTTAATGTCTATGGCAAGGTGTTTTGTAAATAAGTAACACATATTAATTGTTGAATTTTTGTAGTGATGTTGATACTGATACCTGATGAAATGATTACTCGTCGAGTTGTTGTATTATAGACAACGGCGTTTTGCTGGAAATATATTCCACCCTTAAGTACTCATTTAATAAGTTTCGTCTACATTTGGAAAGTTTTGGTAATTTCGCGTAACACTATGGGGGGAGGAAAGGACGTGCTGTTTTTGGCGCCACTAGTTTTTCTTTTGAAAGTTTTCCTAACAATCGAGCTCAATACATTCCTTCACATGCAGTATTTCATTTAACTAGTATTCGAAAGTTCAAAAAATCTTTTTAACTCGGAACACTAATGGCGTATTCTGAGACAACCGCTTCTTCAAGCTCCATATATTGGTAGAAAATAACGATATTAAACAAAAACATCAGGACAACGTGGATCGTGTCTTTTTTTATTAAAAAGATGCAACTTTGACAAGCTAAAAAAGACTCTTAGGTTAGCATGTAATAACATTTTTTCGAATCTGAGAAAGAACTCCCCATGACTCCGAGGCGGTAGGTTGAGCTTTGACGAAGAATGAGCCCTGGCGAGCAAAAGGGTCGGGGCGCGCGCTTGTGTGTTGCAGACCCGAAGACGAAGCCTCCGCAGAAGGACCGATCACAGGCCGCTTCACCGTTTTCCAAAGTTCGGAGGCTGCTCGCGACCAAAACACACATTTTCCGTAATGAATTATTTCACGTCAACTTGCTAGAACTGGTAGAGCCAGGGCTGGATTACGGTAGGCACGTTAGTGTTATGGTATACCAGCTGAGAGAGTCCTAGATAGGGTCTCCTAATGATCAATTTATTGTAAGTTTATTTCAAGACTAAAAATAAATAAAGTCAAATATACAGAAAATTTACATTTTTTTCAAAAATAAATGTTTTCAACTTCAAATTAACGTAGGTTGTAAAAGTAAATATATGAAAAGGGAAATATATTAGTTACCTCCAATGAACAATGAATGAGTTCTTTTTCAGTGGTTCTTCCTCTAAATTACAAGTTTTTATATTTCAAAAATACTATAGTTACAGTTCAGCTCGTCTTTAAATGTTCTCAGACTACGAAAAAACATTTTGTCTACGCCCCACGAAAGCGTTAATCCGCCTGGTAGAGCTACAAATAAATGGTACCGCTCTATTGTATTAACATTGTAAATGTTGTTTAAATCAAGCTGAAAATTAAAAATAATGTGGCAAAAGAAATCTGTATACAGTTTACTATCACACGGTATTATGTGGCGCGACTTTTTGTATGATGCCTTGCTTCCCTCCTGTGCATCAATAAACAGTTGAAAGGCAAAAGCTCGCAGATGACAACATTCCACACACTACAAGCACTACAAGCTATTTTTCTGTTGAAGGACCGGCGAACTTCTCCTCCGTGATTTTCCCCAAAACATCTAAAGAAAGACCGATAGCAGGTGAAGATCCATATAGAAGATATCTCGAACTCCTGAGTAAAAGCAAATTAATTGAGAGGTGTTCGAAGGAATGGCTGATTCTTCAGAGATTGCTTGCCTTAAATCTAGGTGGCCGTAACTAATACTTATACACTCAACAGCATTTCTTCAAAATCCATCGTTCAAGAAAAGTTGCGCGAGAAATACATTTTTTTTCGTTAGAAAAAAAAAGATCATAATAATAGTAGTTGTAACTGTTTTTTATAATTGAAATTTATCAGATATTTGAAGGTCTAGTAATAACATTTATGTTCTTGTTAATAATGATTATACAATATGAAATAATGATCGTTAAAACCGTTCATAAGAAATGAATTAAAATTTCTAGAAACAGTAATCAAGATAGGCTCACATCACAGTGTAGATATTCCGGAACAGGCGTCTTCTTCACCGTGGACGCTGCGCCTGTTGCACTTTAAAACTGGTCTTTTTGAAATGCGTTTTGGGTCAAAGGATGTAGCGTTGCCTGATTCCGGTCAAGGCTCCGGTTCTTCCGATCATTAAAAACGCGATGCAGATGTATTACAAAGTAAGAGCGACAGGGTGAAATATATTATTCGAATGATTCTTGGATTTGATTTTAAGCTGTGGCGGCTGTGACTTCTGAAATCAAGAGCACTGTGAGACATATTTTAAACGATAGTTGAGTAAAGTGTAATTATAATAATCAAAATTATTATTGTTATCGGTTGAAAATCAAACTTGAAAGCGGCATTTTTTGATCAATTAATATTTACTTTTGGTTATTTGTTGTGTAGAGTGTATTGCGGATCAGTTAAATTTTGAAGACACAAATGCTATGGTGTTATGTGAAGCTGAGTACTTATAGATCTTCGTGATAATAAGTTGCAACCTTTGAAGCGCAGTTCTCCAACGGGCGGGGAGCGTACGGACGCCTCGAAGGGTAACGGTGGCGAAGGCGCGTATGGCCGTGCTTCGGTTTGCCCGCAACAGGCCTGGCGCCAGCCCGCGACACGAGCCCACTCGCCGGACTTTGCTTGGGTCGGAGGGCGCGACAATAGGCAGAGTGCAGCAGCCATAGCACGCCGGACTGCACATTCCGGCATAGGACAACGGTGGTTGAGCGCAGCTGAAATATAGAAAACAAAAACTATGACGTGAGGGAGAAGTATTGTGCTGTGCGAAACTACCTTTCCGGCAATAATGACACGGATGGTTGAGCCGTACGATTTGGTACGATAGTGTAGAACGCGTAAAAATATTGATGTCGCTTCGGTCGCTATGGGCACAAGTTTGTTAGGGGAGACTGCCTTGAGTTCGTAAGAAATGGATTGTTGAATGTAGGTCGGATATTTTCAGTAATAATCATGGTTTAACTACCCAAATAGTAGAACTTTCAAGAGATTAGAATACTGGCGATACCCCGGGGAAGTTATTTAAGAACATTAATCGGTGGTTCTAAAAAACGTAATAAGATATCTTACATACGTAAGAAGACAGCGCCATTGGATTCGTGAAAAACAGCGGTAGCCTAATTTATTGGAGATGTCAACGATCCCGATGGGTGCATGCAGTGTTGAGGAATATACGTTCATCAGATACGTAACATCAATAAATTTACTAGACAACTGCCACGCATGTTTTCTCCCATCTAAAAATATTTTGTCTTGCAAACTCGGTTCATTCTGCAATACATATAGTTTTAGTGGGTCAGTTTTATGTATCTACAATTAATAGATGTAATAAATTTGGGCAAACTGTGTATTTCGAATGCAATATTATGGAACAGTCCAATGAAAGCTATTTGAAAAATCATGTTTCTGATTTATTAGTATTTTTGGTGCAGGTACACACCGAACTGCCTGAATACATGGTGTATACTATACTCTAGCCACGAATATAATTAAAATAAGGTTAAATACAAAATAAATTACAAATAACGTCTGTTACAAACAACGTGTTCCATATAGGAGTGTTGTATGCCGCCACCTGTTTTGACTCCAGGAATCACGAGGCAGCCTAGTTCTGAAAGTATGCAACTAGTGTGCTGGAATCATAGAGCATCCACTTCATGGGTAGTATTCTATCTCATTGGATATCGCGTCATTGGGTAATTTTCTCAATGTCTTTGTCTTTCGCCTAATAGTAGCATTGAAATATGTCTTTTAGAATTTCACAGAGGAGTAAAATATATTACTGTACGCCAATTTTCATTGGAACATGCGGAGCAGTTCTTTTTAGAAAATGCCGTTTCAGCGTTTCGGCAAATGCACTATTTTGAGCTCATATTCACAGAAAAGTTTTGAGTTTTCAAGGAATTTCATCAAAATATTCTTGACACACTTACCTTCACAAATGCAATAATGTATAGAAAATACCTGTCTTGTGAATATCAACGACCTTAGTAATTTATAAAGAAAATTACATTTGTGAAATCTCGTTTCTCACCAAAAATTCATCAGCTTTCTTCGGCCGTACAATAGCACCCGCACCGTCAAGGACTAAGACTAACACATCCACATTACTATATTTTTCACTCACCGTAGTTGCCATTTATCCATCGAAGCTTTCGCTGGTCAATCAGAAATTCTTTGAACGCTCATGACAAGGGGCTTGATTTTTTAAATTTTTTTCTTAGAGTAGAAGACAGTGCGCTTCGGAATATGGAATAAGTTTTATTTTCATTGAAGTGTGTGAAACATTTTTTACGAAAATTTTATATTCCGATCTCCCGCACCTTTGTTAGTGAAAGTGAGCCGAGACGGCTGAAGAATTACAATACATTGAGCAGTGTTATATTATGTGGCTTTTACAAAATAATAATACAAGGAAGTATCTACCAGTTCAGCATCAATATTTTCAAGCTTTTAAACACCAAATGCACTAATTGCAATTCAAATTGTGATTATCACCATATAAGCAATGTGTAATACATAATTTTTTTTAAACTTAATAAATGTTTCTTCGACTTACGTATTTTCACAAGAATACTGCTTCGCCTGTAGTATAAGAATAGGTTTGTTAAACTGTACTGAGGTGAATCTAGTCCGGACGCACCTTTTATGCGTGCCTGGAAAAGCACACCGGGAATCCCCTAAGCGGAGTAGTTCCCTTGGCGAAGAAACCGTGATCTCATTGGAGGAAGCTAGAATTCGATTCCTGTCACCTGCTCTACTGGTTTTTCCACCTCTCGACCGCTGCAAAGCGTGCAGAGAATTGCTCTTGTGAAGCAATGCGGGGGGGATGTGGTTGCGGACTCACGGAAGTGAATGTCCTTTGATAAACAAAATCGAGTTGAATGCAACGTATCTACGACGCATGTTTAATGCCGAATAAAATGCCAATGTAATCACTAGTAAAACATTACTTATAATGTTATAAATCAGTTCATGTCCTCACATTTTATGGCTTTCAAAATCACAAAACTTGCATCCTGATGATCCAAAAAGCAAGATAAATGAAACTATATTTTGTAATGGTAAGGTAAAATTATAATTATATTTTAAATTATTTATTGTTCATGTTTATATTGTCTCGTGCATAACTGTACCAAACACCTTCAATCACACCACACAATACTACGTATTTCCGTATCTCTAAGCTCTGAAGTTTTGTGACAAATCGTGTATATAATGGGCGTGACTTTCACAAAAAAAGAGCGTGTTTTCATAAGGAGAAAGTAATCGATTTGTAGGTCAGATGTTTCCCGCATGGTATGAAAGATAAAAAATATATAATCGCAAAACTAATTTTCTCCGCCGGACCCGGCGTTGGTTTGGTGCTCGCGTGGGACCGTATGGGTGGGGACAGTACTCATTAATGCAATTGATCCATCTTATCCAATGTGAAATCTATCTGAGCTAAGCTACATGTAGTAAATGCAAAGAACTGTATAGCGCAATATTAAAAAAATGTTGTTTCTTACAGTTTGTGTTAAAAAATACGATAAATTTTGACATGGTATTTTTTGTTTTCATTAGTACAGAGATATTGGTTTAGGATTGTGAAAATAAATGAAGATCCTCATTGTTTTCGATTCGGTTGCATCTTATTGTTGTTAACTATCACTGCACAATGTCTGCAGGTCTAAAACAGAATATCAAGTATCCACTCTCGTTGATAATGACTGTAAACGTTGAACAAAGTTCATTCTACAATCCGCCTGCAGGAAAGAACCTAGCATTCCCAGACAGCAATGGTTAGTAAGCGTTGCCAGAAGCGTGCTGCGACCGTCTGCTTTCCACTGAGGCGAAAACTGAGGTAAAGCTGAGGTGGGAACAAGCACAGCCTCACGTGTGACTTTACGTCAAAGGTAGCTTTCGCTGTTGCTTCACATAATGGTTGTACTTATTCAACATTTCGCGTTCCTTGGTCTCCCTTAATTTTTCCCTTCGCCAAGTAAATTGCAGCTCAAAAGGGCCATTACTAGGAAAAAGTCCAGCAGTTTCTCTCTACTATATGTTTGCCGGGTGCCGAATTCGAATTTGATCTTTGCCGCCTCAAAAAATCTGCTTCTCAGAGAAAATTGCTAAAAAAAAATATTAATTTTTTTCTAGATTTTCACTTATATCCCCAGATAACATTTCATACAAAATACTTATCTTGACTTCACGTTCGTGATAAACGGCTTAGGCGGTAGAGCGTGCTGAAAATCGGTTACTTTGTAGGCATCTGACCGAGCGGAAGAATAATTTCCTGCCATCCTATCACGTTGAGGCACTTCTTTTTTTATTTTGTCGTGCCTGAAAACGACGACGGTGAAAACATAATTGTCTTTGTTAAATGATGAACCCTCCGATACTCACGGAATTAGTAGGAAAGTATTCGCTTTCGCGGTCTATCTATATAAATCCTTGAAACATACAGCATAAAGTATACTCCATACCATATAACCAAACATCGCTCGCACACTTTTCAAGAAGACTTGCAAGAACTATTTTTGGATGTGAAAAAAAAACACATTGTTTCATATTTATCAATTCTTCAATGGTAAATTGATATTCCTCGTCACTATTTACAAAAAAAACAAATACTAGTTCGAATCACTCATTCTACGAGGGTTGTTTGCAAAGTTTGTTTAAAATTTACCAACGGAATTTCTTTGGAAAATTCCTATATTTTTCAACATAGGCTCCTTCTAAATCAATACATTTGGCCTAGCGTGTTTCCAATTCTTTCATCCCATATGAGAAATAGGTTTTGTCAGACACTGAGAAATATACGGTTACAGCAGCAATTTCTGCTCATCAAGCCAAACTTTTAAGTTGGGAAATATAACGAAATCATTCGGGGCTAAATTCGGTTCGTATTGTGGATGAAGAAACAGTTCAAATTCCAAGTGATGCACTTTTTCATTGTGATTGCTGATGTGTGGGCTGGTACGTTTCCTCGATGGAACATCACTTTATTGTGCGTCAATCTTAGCTGTCATTAATTTATGTTTTAAACGATCCAATAAGGAAGTAAAACAGGGCTCAGTTATGGTTTTCCTTTTTTAAAATAACCTTTAAGAACTTTACCCTGAAAATTGCAAAAAACAGTGGACATAAACTTTTCTGGTGATAAAACTGTCTTATCCTTCTTCAGGGCACAATCATCAACCAACTTTGTTCGTTGTTTTGAATCTTTTCAGGTTTCAGGTTTTCAGATTTTGTCCAAACGCGGCATCCATCTCGCGCACAGTTTTTTCATGATTAGTTTCTACCGGTCGCAGGGCATTAGCTGATGTCACTGCAATTCCTCTGAATGGGATATCCTTGGTTCGAGTCCTGACAGTGGTAGAATTTTCTATACTGGCTGGAAAGCTAGGTGGAATGCAGTTGCTATCTGAAGGAGACTTCTAGCAGCCAGCTGCTCTGGTCAACCACACATTCCGGGAGACAGGTCGTGAGCTTAGAACTTAAACTGGCTGGTGCGGTATTTCGCTGGTAGGAGATCGGGCTGGATCCCACCATCCACCGGGACAATGTTACCGCCACCTCCCGCACTAAAACATTCACTACACTTACAGTACCATAGCAGCTAAGGCGACTGTAATCATATAGTCAATCGATCATGATCAGTATCTCATGCAAGATGAAGTGGACTCCTTCAGTTTGAGATGCCATCAGTACCAGCTATCTCGCACACGTTCACTCTGGGATTTCCATTACCAGATCGAGAAATTTCTCGGTTTGGTGACATCAATGTCCGGCTGGAACGCGCTTCATCTTTAGTAATTTTGTGGCCATGTTTGAATTTATTAATCCAGAAGAAAAATTACTTCAATGCTGGTGAGGAGTAGTTCATCTATGTTGTTTACCACATATACTTCATCTAATTCGGTTGTTATCTGCGCTGCAGGCCAACTCTTCAAAGGTTGTAATCACAGCACGAATATCATTTTTTCCCGTTTCTACGCCACACGTCAAATTCCCATATTCAGCTGGCTACCAACAAATAACTACGCGCTGCAACGCAAATAATCAAGCGATCAAGGCACATCATCTTTGCGGGTTCCGTCGATAATTCGTTTGTCTTCTTTGGGAGGCGGTGCAGTCATTTTTTTTAATGAACATTAAAACCTTTGACCCAGAGGTATTGTGATATATTTTTTACTTTGAATTGTTTTTGTTTTTCTTTCTAATCGGAATAAGTTTATTTTCAGATGAGTTAATAAAATTCATCTTTAGATAGGAGACGAATTTGTTGGAACTGAAAATAATAAATCTTTATTTATTTGAATTTATCATATGACAATGAGGATGAACTAGCCGTGTCAGTAATTTGTGAAGATAAGTGGATGACGTTTACAAAAATTAATGACCAGATTCTTGAAAAATAAAAGGAGATACCTGAACACACAGAGGAAATTTGCGAATGGGTGATGTCGGTCTCTTGAGGTAATTATTGCACAGATACAATAAGAAACGTGTTTCTATGTTATTTCTCAGGGTCTATTGTAAGTATCAGACTGAAAAAAAATCAGAGACGGGTGAAAATCGTTGAATTTAAAGGTATTTTTTCAACCAATTTTGATGCCATCTTTAAATAGAAAAAATAGAAATTGATTTTTAATAACCAAGTATTGTCTCAGTTTTTTCTAGAATGTCTCATAGTCATTCAGTCATTTTTTTCATCTTTTTAAACGTAAACAATAGTAAAAAAGTAAAAACATTTTTTTCAATTTGAAATTGGCCTCAAAATGTTATTTAATGATATTTGCAATAATTAAATATTTAAGCAGTGAATATTATTTTCCACAAATACAATGCTCTTTGCCCTATAAGGTTGTAATATTAAATACAGAGATATATCTTCCTATTCGCCACATGTTCCCTAATATATGTATAAATCATGAAAGTTGTTCTTAGAATTGTAATAGCTCTATTAAAAACGAACTTATTAATATATAAAGAACAATAATATAGTAATGTAATAAAGATAATACAGAATTTTAGTCTTTGTAGTTTGATAATCTAAAAAGAATTAAAAATTTACATTGTGGCATGCGCAGAATCTCGCACCAATAATAGGTTACAAAAGTATTAAATTAGGCATGAAAAGTGACGTTTTAGACGTTTATAATTAATTACAAAATTATTAAACCTGACTTTTAAAACATTGGACATGAAAAGTTACGTTTGAGGCAAAAACTGATCACATATGGATATAATTGTTTTTTTCTATTGTTATTCATGAAAGTCAAATATTTTTACATTTATATATGACTACCTGCATATTAATTTATTCACTTTCATTTATTTTCCTCTTTCTCACATTTTGTTCTTAACCTGTGAACAAAAGAAATGGGTGAAATTGTATAAGAAAAGTGTACTGATCGGAGACGAGCATGAAACATTCTCTTTACATCGACTTGCAGTTCATTATATCCGTTATGTGCTGGATGACAGATTTCGGTGAGTAGTACACTTCGTAGTTGATCAGGGAATATTCGTGATTATGGGAATCCTGGAATGTATTACGTTTCGGTGTAACAAACTTAAAAAAATAGAGTAAATAAAATATAATCTTTCCAAATTAGAGGTATCAGTCAAATTATATTTAAACAAGCATCAATCGCTCCTTTTAGGCACTACTGAGTGCTTTCAAATGATCTATTTTTTCATGATTCGTATACATCTGCAAAATTTTTCACAATCCCATAAAGGAACTATATAGACACTTGTTGGAAACCCACAGGTCTACTTATAACAATAAGTATATACTATAAATCTTGCCCACATAAATGGGGCTGAAGAACTTCAGAGAAGTTATTTCGTAATTATCTCATTCTCCACTGTACCCGTGATACTACAGCACTCGTCTAAAACGGTGGTGGCTGTGACTGGTGCCGTGTCAGACGTGACAACAAAAGGTCCAACGCCAAAAAGAGTCGTTCTTTAGTGGGCCATAAATAAATTATCAATTTCCTTTTTGTGGCGTCAGTCTAGTTCTAGTGCCGTCAGCCGACATGTGTTGATACTCCCACTGGGTAAACAAACGATGTCAATCAGAATGTGAAGATGCTCCCGCTAGGAATACAAACTGCATCAATCAGAGTGCGATGATTTTCGCGCTTGTACTAACGGCGTCAAGTAGAATGTGACGATG